TGCTACGTACATTGTAACTTGTAAGACTAAAGAAAACGAAAATACAACATATGTAGAAAAAGAATAATTAGCATGTGAGCAACTTGCTTCTTGTCCAAGAATAAAGCCTATACATTAAGAATCACACTACAACAGGATCAAACAACTTTTGTATATATTTGTAATATATATAATATATAACACCTTTTGGCACGTTTACTTTATATATTCAATAGAATCGTAACTAAAATTTTGAATTTATGATTTCTCTATTTTAAAAACGATAACAATGATTATTAATAATATAATATGTTGTTGTAGAGAGGTTTTATTGTACATGTATATTAATTGGATTCATTTTAAACACAAATACAAGATTTGTGTCGAATTAAAACTCAACGCTATTGAATTCTATCGAATCGTAAGCAGAACTGTAACTTCGCCCTTAATATATATATATAAATTTAATTTTGCAGGGTGGCATGTAAGAGGAGTGGAGGAGTACGTTTCACATTAAAAGGACAATCAAATTTCAACATGGTGATGATATCGAATGTTGGAGGTAGTGGTGATATTAAGAGTGTTTCCATTAGAGGCTCAAGAACAAAAACTTGGCTTCCAATGTATAGAAATTGGGGTGTCAATTGGCAAAGTCGAAACGATCTTCGATCACAAACGTTGTCGTTTAGAGTCACATTGGTTGATGGTAAGACGATGGAATTCATCAACGTTGTACCTTCTGCATGGAAATTTGGGCAAACTTTCGCCTCACGCAGACAGTTTAATTAATTAATTAATTAAAGTATTAAACCTAAATAGAAAGTATACTTTTAAATTTATATTTAACCTACATCATGTTCATGACCTGAGATTTTTTTAGATGGTTCATGGACATGCTAGTAAGTTAATAAAAAAATACTAATTAAATTGTATTGTGTTTTTTTTTTTACGTTTTTTTTTGTTTGCATGACGATTTCATAATTGGAATTAGTCGATACGATGAATAATGTTCATGATTTTTTTTTAATGTATTATGTATCACGATGTAATTGTTATGCTCTAGAATTTTGAGAGCATGACAAGCTTAGTATATTTTACTAATTTTAATAATAAATGTATTCTCATGAATGGAGAAAAAAATGTGTTGGTGCTTTTTTTTTTCTTTTTTTTTTCTCGTTTCCAAAAATATGATGCCTCTAAAGATATTAGGATCTGTGTGTAATATCACAAATATAAGTTATTACTTATATATAAAAAATAAAATAATAATTCACAAGTTGATGATTTTGTAAAAAAATTTAGAGGTAAAGTACCCGCACAATATGTAAACAAATAATTATAATGTAAATTGTAAAACATACCTTCGTCAATTCACTAATGCATAAGGGAAAGTAGATGTGAATAGAACAAATTACTGAAATAGGTAAAAGAATCTAAACAAAAGCATACATATTTTTGAAGTTTTATTTTATATTATACATAATATAGAGTCAAGTTTTTTTTTCCACTGGTTTTCGATATCGACATTGGAGACTGATTATTCTGGATTTACACCACATAGGACCCCATACGAGGGGAAACACTCCCTACCAAAGAGTTTTTCATACCCAAGGTTCGAACTCGAGACCTTTCATTAAGAAAGGAACAGTTTCATCCGCTGCACCACATCCGGTAATAGTGAGTATAGTTGCATAAATTAGTAATGTTATTTAATGGAACCACTTAATTGAATAGTTTGTAACTATACTCTTCTTCACTATTTTATTTGTATTTTTATTATAAAGAAATGCTCCAAAATAATTGTCATTTTAGAAAATCAAGGTCTAGTTGATTACATTATTTTTTTCATTTTGTCAATACTAATAGTTATTCTTGGAAGTACTAATAAACATTGACTAATTAGCCTAGAAAAACATAAGTGAAGTGTACATACACATTACACATACTTCAATATTGTGATTGCTTAGATTGATTTCCTTTAATTTTTACATTTATATATATTAGAGAGAGATTAAAGACATCTTACTTTTTGAAGAGAGATTAACATTTTAATTGATTAAAGCTAATAAAATAAAGGGACGTAATTTCTTCAAGGACATGTTAACAAAAAATGTGACAAGTAAAGTGAGTTGGAGAGAATAACAATAAAACAATATTGTTGATTAATTAACATCCAATGAAATTCAATAAATATGGCCCAATATGATTGGTCGTGTATTTAGGAAATTTAAGGCAAAAATAAGACCAAATATTGTATTTTATTCAAGAAACACAAAAAAAAAAAACATAAATTATGAAATTTCTAATCAAATAATTATATTTATTTGAGAAAAAAATATTATATGTAACAAGATATATTTTTTATCAATATGATAATTAACTAGTAGGAATACATTCTTTAATATTGTTCAAGATAAATTCATATAATGTGGAATACTGGTAAAAATTTACTTGTTTGATTTATAAAGTGTCTGACAATAAAATTTGAAGCAATATTCGAATCACTAGTAACGGGAGCCCATTTCACACATTCTTTTGTCACATCACCTAGTCCTCTATTCTTATATTTAAGATAAAATGGTGCAACAAATGATTTATTTGTAATTTGATTCATCCTTTAGGTCGATTTATCAATGTAACTTTTCATAACTAATATCCTAGAGAATTTACCACATTGTCGACCTAAATATGTGGTGACGTTGTTTGTTTTCTCTAAATCTTGAATAGCCTTTAAAGTGCAATTTTGAAGCACTATTCCAATTGAAGTGTCCTCAAGCTTTCCGCTGTGCTGTAAGCCTGTAATTGTATTATATATACTATGGACATTGAAGTGTACTTCAATTAAGCAGTTTGAAAATATAGTCATCACATCGATCACCACAAATAAAGTCTATTGTATTGTATATTTCACAATCTCGATAGAATTTACGATATCTTTACATTTATTGATATCCGTCAAAATGACATTTATAGAAGAAAGCCAAATTTGTTTGTACTCTTAATGTCAATACCTAATGTTTTTACGGTCAATTGTCATTTCTAAAGGTGATGTGTTCGATTGTGAAGTTATACTCAATGATCCCTACAAATTAAATAAAAATAACAAATATATTCTACAATTAAAATAACTCTCAATATTATAGATGCACCCACTGTTGTAGTGTCATATATTTTCTTGCCATCACCGAAGCTTCTATTGCCTGTTAATATGGTTGTATCCATTTCTTATCCGATGAGGACTCAACTTGAATGTATTTTTAATGTGTGTCTTGTTAATCTTAATACAGTATTGTTCGACACTACGATTTCACTATCTTGTTGTCAATACTAATCATCTCTTATCTTCTTTCTTCTATATATTGCAAAAGAAAAAAAAACACAAGACTATGGAGTCAAGTTTATTCTCTAATGTTATGCCTTGTGCTTCTATAGTTTGATTGCCAACACATCAAGTAATATGGGTTGGTGCCAGAAATAGTACTCTAATCCCTTTAACTAAATTTCTATTAGCATTTGAATTTCTTGTGTACTGGTGGAAATTTCTATAACTATGCTATATCTGAAATTTAATATATTCCTAATGATTTGTTTCACGTTACAATTAGTTTACAAAGATTGAAGCATGATCAATTAGTTTATAAAGATAGTCAAATCTGCATGAAACGAAAAATTATCATGTTCGATTATTTCAATAATAAATCTACTAAAGCTAAATAGCAGGCTAATAACATTATAAATCATAGGCATGTGGCTCGCACGGGCACACCCCATCTAGTGTATAATATAAGATAAATACAATTATACTACTAAACTTAATATAGCTAGTTGATAATTAAACATAAAAATGTACCTAATTGGCCTTTTGAATTATTACATCGGGTCTAGCTCTACTTCAAATAATCGATCAAGAGATTTATGGAGACAGGGAGATCAAGTTGCCTTAATCAATTACTAAAAGGATTATAATTGTTTGTTAATTATTAATTGACATAAAATACACGTGCGACACACGAAATGCACATGTGACACATGAAATGACGCGTGACAAATGAAATGCACATGTAATACACGAAATGCACGTGTGATGCACGATATACACGTGTGATGCACGAGATGCACAGGCGATACACGAAATGCACATATAATACACGAAATGCACATGTGACGCACGAAATGCACGTGTGATGCACGAGATGCACAGGCGATACACAAAATGCACATGCGAAAGTATGCATATACTAATTGTATTCAATATACTTGAGACATTTACTTAAGCATTGTGTTTAGGCCTCTAATTTTATTAACTCGCCTTGATTGTTTGGTTGTTTGTTAGAGTTATGTAGATATTAAAAATGTATACTCCATCTGTTCATTTTAATTGTCATGGTTTTCATTTTTAGAGTCAAATGATATAACTTTGACTGACATTTGACGATGTGATTTTTCATCATATTGATTGTAAAAAATAGCAATTTATAGTACTTTTCGTATAGTATTTGAATATCTAATTTTGTTTAAAATATCGAATTAATGAAATCCAATTTAACTTTAAAAATTAGTCAAATTGACTTTTGAAAAACGCAACATGACAATTAAAAGTGGACGAATGAAGTAGTTATGTATGTATTAATTAGTAACACGAGAATTAGTTACACATTTATTCTCCACTTGAATTTTTAATTGATATGATTAAATTGCCTAGTTTAGTGAAAACGCTAAAAATGTTTGATAGCTAGTAAAGAGACAGCTTATTCATACATAACTTATAGTATAATGTTTGGTAGCTAATTAGCGATTAAGTTATTCATATATAAAATTAATTCGATATTTGATTTGTAATTTAAAATCTCACATAACTAACGTATGTATAAGTTATGAGGAAATATGTGTAGTATTTTAATGAAAATAGAAAATCAAAGATGGAAAATAATTATATTCCTTAATACTTTATCATTAGTGTCAAATTGCTATTATTAATTGTCTAAAACCCTAAATCTCGACTCTCTTCTTTGTTCAGCTATTTCAGTTTTTTTTTTGTTCAATTTCAATGTTGGGGAGCTTAAACCATTGTTGTTCTTCAGTATCACCACAGTCCACAAAGCCAATAAGCTCATCAATGAACTTCGCAACTTTGAGAAGATCAATTTCTTACAATCTTCTTCAAAGAGCTTTTCCAATTCGTGCTTATTGCACTGTGTATTGTTCAAATTCAAAGCGTAATAATTTGTTTTCCAGAATTAGCCCTGTGAGGCATGCGGATCTCATAATTCCAGTTCTGGATGAATGGGTGGATGAGGGCAGAAAGGTCACTAGTTTCGAGCTTCAACGCATTGTTCGTGATCTCCGTAGCCGGAAACGGTTTTCTCAAGCTCTCCAGGTTCCATTTCCTATCTGCACTTTTTCTTAGTCAATATTGGAATGTAGGGGCAAGGCTGCGTATACACCGCGGGGTATGTTGTTGTTTTTGTTAGTATTTGACTGTGATAGTCCTGAATAGAGGGGACTAGATATGAATGATTGATATAGCCGACTCAGTTAATTTTGGATTGAGGTTTAGTAGGCGTTTCGATATGAATTGAGTGATATTTGAAAAAAAGAGGTATTTTGAAGTAAGGATATGTAGCGTTTGAAGTAGAGTTTGAGTATGCATTCCCAAATTTTGAGTGAAAAAATTGACAAAAGCAATAGATTCTTATGCTAATTGGGTCCTAAGTTGATTGAGTGATTGATTTCTGTTTGGGGAAGGGGAGATAACGCAACACTTGAATATTGTGATTGAGCTAATGTTTCTTTGGTTTTTAATCTTCTTTAGCGAAAGGCATATAAATTATAATGATCTTAGTGGATCTACCAATAGAATTAAACAGCTTCACCACAGTTTTTTATGTTGAAATTGAGATTATAATGAGAAACAGGGACAATGTTATCTAACAGTCATTTAATCCAACTCATATGAACGATAACAAATGAAATGCAATGATAATGAATGAAGAAAACTAAAGGAACTAGCTATATGAATCAGTACAAGCTCTTGGCAGTTGGTATCAACCTATACTTGATATGAAGCATCGGTAGAAATGGAAGATATAATAGGTGGAAATAGGAAGATAGAAGGATAAAGGAGTAGAGAAAAGATAAGAGATAGAAAGAATAGAGGGAGAAATCGGTGAGGATAGATGAAGATTGAAGGGGAGTAGTTTCAGATAATTCTGGATTCTGACGGTCTTTGCTGTAATAGTTCATCTGTATATAGATAGACTAAGTTCGCACACCAGGCATGGGAAAGCTGAGATGCGGAGCTAAGTCCGCTCACGTGACTTCAACCAATCCATGTTCTGCTTAATTGATTCAGGCTATGTTGCTCGGACTCTTCAAAAATGTTGATGGGCATGTGTCAGATCCTCCAAAAGTTGTGCATTTTTAGTGGATTGAGCATAGGTACGACAACATTTTGGAGAGTCCAAGCAAGATAGGATTCAGGTCTCAACAAAAATGGATTGTAAATGAAGTTTTCTTAGACAACCCTGTTTCTTACAAAGAAGAAATTGAGTATGATAGGAAATGCTCGTGTATCTGATGTAGAAGGGGAGAAAGGAACATGTTTCAACTTCTGGTCTCTGAATTTTACTACTACATCTGACTTTCCCTTGTTACTAAAGCTGGTGGTGCATGCTTGTTTCCATGTAGGTTTCAGAGTGGATGAGTGTAAGAGGTCTTTGCCCTTTCAAGTCAGGAGACTGTGCTGTGCATTTGGATCTTATTGGTGTTGTGCATGGTTGGGAAGCTGCAGAGTGCTACTTTAATAACCTTACCGATGAACAGAAGAATGATAAGACTTCCGGTGCTCTCTTTAACTGTTATATTAGAGAACGCCTGGTTGAGAAGTCCCTAGCCCATTTTCAGAAAATGAAGGAACTTGGTTATGCTCACTGCACTCTTGTTTACAACAATCTCATGTGCCTTTACAGAAGTACTGGCCAACTTGAGCAAGTCTCTGATGTGCTATCAGAGATGAAGGAGAATGGTGTCACCCCTAATAACTTCAGCTATCGGATCTGCATCAATTGCTGTGGAGAAAGAGCTGATTTTAGTGGTATGGAGAAGCTTCTTGAAGAAATGGAAAGTCAGCCTTTCATATCAGTGGACTGGATCACCTATTCCATGATGGCTAATGTTTATATTAAAGCCAAGTTCAAGGAGAAAGCTCTTATTTTCTTGAAAAAGTTAGAAGATAGGCTACATAAAGATCCAATAGGTTACAATCATTTGATCTCCCACTACGGAAATCTAGGCAATAAGGAAGAGATGTTGCGATTGTGGGGTGTACATAAGGTTGTGTGTAAAAAGCAAATTAACAGGGACTACATCACCATGCTAGGTTCCTTAGTGAAGCTTGGTGAACTAGAGACAGCTGAGACCGTGCTAAAAGAGTGGGAGTCATCTTGCCGCACCTACGATTTTAGAGTGCCAAATATCCTTCTAATTGGATATTGCCAGAATGACTTAGTTGATAAAGCCGAAACCATGCTGCAAGATATAGTCAAGAAAGGTCAGACACCAATCCCAAATAGTTGGGCTATCATTGCTGCAGGGTACTTGAATATGAATAATATGGAAAAGGCTTTTGAATGCATGAAAGAAGCTATAGCTGTACGAGGAAAAAATCCAGCATGGAGACCAAAACCCCATCTGGTGTCAAGCATAAGTAAATGGCTCGGTGACCAACAAGACGCTAGAGAAGTAGAGGCTTTCCTTAGCTCATTAAAGACAGTAGTTACTGGAAATAAAGACGTGCATGATGCCACTAGAAACACAGAAGCCAGTGGAATAGAAGAAGAGAATGAAAACGAAGAAATTCTTAGCTATGAGCAGAGCAAGTAAACTTCTGCCCAAGCCTGGACGAACAGGCGCCTGTCTCATTTTCTCTATTATCCACTTCCATATGTTTGGAGAAAACGGAGATAAAAAAGAGTAAGCCGCGCTGTTGTTACTGTTGAGGCTAGCTTTGTATACTGTGAACTTAATCATTATCTGTGCTTGAAGATGTGTGTAGAGCAGTGAAGAACAATGGTACACGATTGCAGTGAGCTTGCATCTTGTACTGTCAAAATGAGAGGAAAAAACTGGCGATTTTGCAGCGTGGTTCGGATAGATCAGCATTTACCAGGTGTTTACAGTTATTATTTAGTAGTATTTGTTTTCACTCTAAAGCTAGAGTTTGAAAAAGATAAAGGATGTATTTTTTGAAATAAACAGTTTACAATTGCTCATGATTTACTTCAATTGATTTGTTCAAAAAAATACTGTATGATTGAGACCTCAATAATATATCAATGTCACATGGTCAAGTAAGTCAAGATCCAGCTAAAATGAAATCTTGATAGTCTACTGAAATAATTTGTTGAGAATTACAAATTAAATTCAATCTATTCGATATTAAATTATAATCTTAATGGATATACTTTTCATATGTTATTATATATATTCAATGAGAATTGAACAAATTTATATTTTATGATTGTATTAAAATAATTTTTCCTTGTAAATAGTACATGATAATTTGGACATCCTGCTTTTGCACTTTTCACAACATTTGAAGTTGTTGATATGTCGGGCCTGTGGGTATGGCGCCGTCCTTGGGTACTGTCCTTTTCCTTCAGCAAATCAAAGCGAGTCTTCTGAAATTTAAAATTTATGAATTCGAGATTTTAGTTTTCTTAACATTATTGAATTATATATATATATATATATAAGAATTTTCTGAAAATGAATATAAATAATAAATGAAAATCAATGAGTTCGATCCAATTTGTAAGCTATGTTATATTATTTCTACTAATAGCAACTATCTCCAGATTTTTCGGTGATGGGAAATGTATCTACTCTTCGGCGGCTATTTTTAGTACTCTTTTATTCTTTTCAAAAATAGTGGTGGAGAGGGGATTGAATAATAATTTGGGAACAAAGTATGATTTTTTTCGTATAGAGGGATTACTCGTGTGGTAAATATCCTTTTTCTTTAATTTAAGGTTATAAATTTGAGCCACGAAAGTCTAGAGGGTTAAAAAATGGATTTATTTATTTATTTATTAGATTGTATAAGCAATTTCAAAAATACTAATATCACAATTTTGATGTTACTTCTATATAAAATTTAACGTGAAATCATAATTTGAAATTTCCGAAATAAAATAATTTGATAAAAATACCCTTTTCGAAAGCTGTTCTTCTAAATCTTTTTAAAGAACAAAGATTAAATTGTAATTTTTTTTATCTATTATATGTAAACAAACATATGTTTTATATTATTACATTCTGTATATCTTATTTTTAATTCAATAGAACAAACAACTATGATGAAAAATACATATATTAAAAATATCATTATTATTTAATCTCATATTATAATCCCACGTTATAATCTATCTTTTCCTAACAGTTTTTATTGTCGGACGCCTACATATAAAAGTCCAGATTTTTGCAGTGAATATCCTCTTTTTTATTATTAAACTAAAAATGTTACTATATGATCTATTCTTGGAAAAAGTGAAAGCTTTTCTTAATTTTTTTTTAAAAAAACTCATCTCATAGTTTATTTCCCTATTCATATTTTCTTTCATTAAAAATGGGTTGTACTACCTATTTTTACAGAAAAACTAAATTTATTTCCATAAATAATCATTCTTCTTTTAAAGTTAAAATTATTAATCAATCTAAGTTATTACAAGAATCTATAGATTATTGGTCAATACTAGCTCCTTATTAGTTATTTCCTATAAACATTCTCATGTTTATTTAAGTTATTTTCCAATTTAAAATGAAACTATTCTATGGTAGTATAATTTTTGCAAAAAAAATATAATTTGCTACAGTTTTGCATCCACACACAGGGACAGATCTAGATAGTTGATTAATGAATTTTTACATAAACTTCATAGCTCTTATTCAGATCGTAATTATTAAACTTGAAACTGTAGTAAATGCTCATAAACTTTAAATTTTGAACTTGTTGCTAAATGCTAACATATCTTATCAATAACTTAAGATATCTTGAGGGGCAATTCTTGTATTATACAAACCTACAAGGGTATTTCTAAACTTTTGCAAGAAAAAAAAAAGAAAAAAAGAAAGAAAAATGAAGCTCAAAACCAGTCCACTTTCACCTGTTGGCACTTTGTCATTAGATTCTGTCCTCTTACCCTTAAAAAAATATCCAATACAATCTTTGTCTTAACACTAAATAAAACTTTACATTAAAAAAAAAAGTAAACATTTTTAATCAGAACTAGTGGGACTAATTACTGAATTAGCAGAAACATATTCCCATAAACCCCTGTCCCTTTTTCACACTCCTTTTTTGCTTCTTTCTTCACACTCTTCACTTCCTTTTCATCTTTTCTGCAAAAAAAAATCCCATTTTTATGAACCCTTTTTTCTACTTCATTTTCAAGATTTGAAGAATTTTTGTAGAGATTTAGGTGTAGTGGAAATGAGAGGACCTTTAGGGGCTGTAATAGGGAAGTACCCTTCAAGTGATGGTGGGGTAGCTGGAAAAGGGGATGGAATTATCAAACACAACAGGAAATGTAGAGATGTAGTGTTTCTTGTTATCTTTATTGCTTTTTGGGTTGCTATGATTGTTAATTCCAGCTTTGGATTCAACCAAGGAAACCCATTGAGGTAAAAAAAATATATCAAGAAATGAAAAAGTTGCCATCTTTTTTGCTGTTTTTGCATACCCTAAGTGTGTCTGTGCTGTTTTTGGCATTTTGATCTGTTAGTTTAATGTGTTTTGTGTGAGATGTTCTTTTTTGTTCATATCTTGTGGTAGTTAATGTGGGTTTGATTTACTTTTCTTTGAAAGGTTAGTATTTTGTTGTTTTGGCTGAATGTAAATTTTAGATGTTGCTTTGTTTTTGTCTAGCTGAGGTACAAAGTTATCTTCTTTAAGACCTAACCTTCTGAAGGGTGTGGAAAAATGCACAAGTGTTGCCACAAGTTGTAAAGAATGTTCTTTTTTGGCTCTTTGTTGTTGAGATTGTCATTAAAAGAACCTGATTTTATGGCCAATGTTATAAGTTAAAGATTGGTATGGATATGTGAACTCCTTGTTTGGAAACAAGGAATTGTGTGACAAGTTTTTAGAGAAAACATACTTATATTTACTTAAGAGGGTTGATTACTCAGATAGTCACTCAACTAATTGTTATTATCTCATAAAGAATACACCTTTCTTCTTAGACTTCAATTTTCTTCAACAAAGAAAGTGACGTTCCGAGATAATAATTATTAGTTGAGTGACTATATGCGAAATCAACTCAAGAATGTTTTGCATCTAGCCCCTTACATATGGCCTGATTCATCCTTTCATGGCTAAACATGTAGAAATTCTTTTTGATAATATGTCTTCAATGATATCATTCAAAATTCTGGTTACACTACTGTGAAGGGTTCTTTTTCACTAAATGGAATTATATTATACGAGCTTTTCAGCTTGTTCATGCGAAAAAAGAAAAAAGATCTTCCCTTTTTCAATGGATATACTTGTTCACTCATTTGTTGTATTGCTGATGCATCTGTTTTGGCTTATCAGGCTAACATATGGGCTGGACTATAAAGGCAATGTTTGTGGTGATAGACATGCCGATCCTGATCTTCGTGAATTGGAACTCAGATACTGGGTGAACCCAAATCAAGTTTATGAAAGTGGTTCAAAGGATAATCAGGCCAAACTTTCTAATGCTAGAACTATTTGCTTGATGGACTGCCCTATCCCATCTGAAGATTCTCTAAATTGGGTGTGTGACTATCCAGAAGGTGAGGTTCGTCTGTCAGTAGATGACTGGATCGATAGAAATTATGATTATTTTGCGGACCTTACTCCAGACCTAAGGAACACTTCACTTCAGCTTCAAGGTCCCTGCTACCCTGTCATATTTCCAAGTGTTAATGGTAAGTGAAAGTATCATTTGCGGCATGATATGTCAATCACACTGTTTTTTTTTTTTTTTTTTTTTATAACCGAGAAATCCGTCTGTGACCCGTCCTTTGGACCAATCACAGTCAATCACATTGTTTGCTGAGTACTTTTTATTGATTTGGGAACCAGCTTAATTAAAGGTCCTTTTTGATGATTTCAGCTCCCCCACCTGATAAAATGGAACATACTCCCCCCCCCCCCCTCCCTTTCTCTATCTGTTGGAAGTTCAAGTGTTTTGAGATGTTTAATTTCTTTTTCAATATCCTAACCTTTTGTGACAGTTTATTGGAGTTGTCAGCTTATTGCCCGTGCATCAAATGTATCTTTGCGGCATTGGAGGGAGATGGGTGGTGTAAACATTGTTGAGGACATCGCAGTTGATAAGTCTATCCATGGCTTAATTAACTCTCGATCTTTGGTCTTAAAGGTTGAGTGACTTAACACTTCTCTTGTTTTGCTTGTAAAGTACACAGCTAGAATGTTTTCATTGAAACTTGCCGGGAGAAAATGAGACACTCAATAGTATAGTTGTAGATTGCTTGTTTGGTTGGCTGTAGATAACATTTTCTCTTGGAACTGCATCAGGATACATAACCACATGTAAAAAAAATTGCTTTTCATATCCACAAATTTTGCGAATTCTTTAATTCAAACGGTAAAAGTGTAACTCATTTTCATAAATAACAAATGTGTTTCATTTGACTTGTGTGTCAATGGTCTAACGATGACTAAAACAAGAGAACACTGAAATACTAAAAGTAACACATATTATAACAATGTGCCTTAATTGTATTCTCTATGGTATCACATTCTTTATTTAAGAGTTTGAAATTCACATATGAGTTACATTTTCAGAGATATGTAGCTGATGTTGGCAAGTCATGGGGAGTTTTGATTGTTTGTGGAGGAATTTTGCCAGTTTTTCTATCAGTGATATGGCTTTTGATGATTCGTCACTTTGTGGCTGCAATGCCTTGGATAACTGTCGTCCTCTTTAATGGCCTCATAGTTTCAGTCACAATGTTCTACTATCTGAAAGGTTAGGCACTGTTCCCTAGTGTTTTCCCTTTGTCGTTACGTAGTAATTGTATTCATGTCAATTTTCAGTTCTATGTCCAAGTTGTAATTGAGATAACTTTATACTTTCTATTATTAGTTCTATGTCCAATAGTCTCGTAGCACTGTTAGTATTTGTGATTCTGGCTTTTTTATTTTTCACACCCCCTTCCCTGAGGTTGAAGAAAACTAGATGACCTATGTACTAAGAGTGATTCATGGGAAACATAACTTCTTTCCTTTTTCTTACATTTTCCATTCTCCATGGAGTTAGTCGAGGTGCACAAAAGCTAGCGCAAACACCACATTTATCAAACAAAAATTAGTAAAAAGGCCAACAAGATGCCTATTGTTTATGTATGCTTCACTCTTTTGCGCCCATTCACCAAGATAGATACTTTTCCTGATGTAATCCTTTCTTTCTTTTTGATAAAGCTCAAGTCTTTCTGTCTTATGCAAAGATCCTTCATTTTGTTTTTCCTACAGTACGTGAAGATTTCATCATAGTCCTGCATTATATCTTATGTTTGTTGTGTAATTGAACATCATATATTTCCATTGCGTATACTAACAAAATTATTCCTCTTTCCTGTCCAGCTGGATGGATAGGGAACGACTCTATCTCCCCCATCATTGGTGAACATGATCCGTATTATCATGTATTTGCAAGGGTATGCTTGCCTTTTCAGTTTCATTATTCTCTATGTAATAGTTTGCTTTTAGTTTGCTGTACCGTTAAATCAGATTATCTGCTTGGTAGGAAATAAGTCATCTCCATGCTGCTGCTGTTGTGATGACTGCTGTAATGATTATTTCGGTCTTGTCATCCATCGCTATAGTGCGACGTATCCTTATGGCTACTTCAGTCCTGAAGGTAAGTCCATCTCTCCACCTTTCTGAGCCTTATGGATAGAGTATAAAGCTTCTTATCTCTAGATATATTTACTTAAAACCTGAGATTATGAATGATAATCTTAATTGCAGGTAGCTGCTAAGGTCATTGGAGAAGTACAAGCATTAATAATTTTCCCCATCATTCCGTATGCTATCCTAGCAATCTTCTACATGTTTTGGTTTTCAGCTGCTCTTCACCTTTTTAGTTCTGGACGCGTTGTCCAGAATGATTGCAACACCAACTGCTGTGCTTATGATCTTAAATTAAAAAGGGTGAGCTGTGATCGATGCTGTGGTTACAGCATCCAGTATACTTCTCATATTGCTGTTGCAATTTTTTTCCATTTGTTTGGAGGCTATTGGGCCACTCAGTTTTTTGTGGCAAGCTCTGCAACAGTCATTGCAGGCTCTGTCGCTACATACTATTGGGCTCGAGGTGGAACATCGGTGAGTATACATCCTCCTCTCATTTTGCAATTGCTGTTACTTTCTAAAAAGCTTCGGCAGTCCATTTCATATATTTTTGAGACGAAAAATTTCCTGATTTTACAGAGTATTTTGGTTATGTACTTGTGACTGATCAGTTTACTTTTCCAAGTGCAGCCAGAAATTTCATTTCTCCCAGTGCTCTCCTCTATGAAGCGGCTTTTACGTTACAGCATTGGATCTGTTGCTCTTGGTTCTCTGATTGTTTCATTTATAGAGTCTATCAGGTTTATACTTGAAGCACTCCGGCGTAAACTTAAAGTTACTAACTCTGCACCAGAAAGTTGGTTTGGAAGAATGGTATATAATTCCTCACAGTGTCTCCTGCGGTGTGTTGGTTGGACCATCAAATCTGTGAATCGTAATGCTTACATCTTGGTAAGAGTACAAAATGTTGCAATCCCATTCAATGTTCCTCAACTTCTCATTAATTCAACGTTCTGAATTAACGAGAACATGCCATCATTGTTACACATGATCTAGATTTATAGCGATTATCTTTACAGCATCAGAAATGATGGTGTTTGTGATGCTTTGCAGATAGCAATAACAGGAAAAGGCTTTTTCAAGTCTTCTGAGATTGCAACTGATCTCATTATCAGTAACATTCTTCGGATTGGGAAGGTGAACGTCATTGGTGATGTTATTCTCTTTCTTGGGAAGCTGTCTGTCAGTCTTGCAAGTGCACTTTTTGCTTTTCTCATGTTGGATACTCACAAATACAACATTGGACATAACAAGATCTCATCTCCAATATTCCCGGTGCTGGTAAGTCTAATTCTTTTGGATGGATTTTTCATTTAAGCAGATGCAACTATCAATTTCACAAAATAAGATCTAAGAAATAGCTCAGATCCTTTGAGGAGTTTCTGTTACCACTTTAAATGATGCAACATAGAGAAATATAGAGAGAGTGAAGACCTATATATGTGAACTTCCGTAGTATCATTTAGTAAAAGTGTTTGAAGATTTCACTTGATGAGTACTTACGGTGATGACTAAGAGGTTCAACTGAGTGTGTTTCCATAAACGTGGACACTCTGTTTTGACTTGAAGGACGTGCACGAGGTTTTGTAGCTTGATAGCTTTTGAGGAACATGATTCACTTGTAAAGATTCATGCATGAGGTTCTGTAGCTTGAGTACATAGATTGATAACTGTGAGGATTGGAGAGTTCCAAGCTCTAGCAATCGCGGGACAATGTACAACTGCTTACTCAACTGACAATTGTAGGATTACCAGAATTGAATGCTTAGTAGCAAGAAAATGCCACTTAACCAACTCCTGGAGTTTTAAGTCTTTGAGATGAACTTTGAGAAAGGACATCTAAGAGTCTGTTTGGCCAAGCGGTTTGGAAGCTATCCACTATGAGTTTTGAAGTTGGATAACGAAACTTCTTTGAGTCTTACTTGATTCCTGTTTCTAATGCAGGTGTGCTGGTTTCTTGGATACGTCGTGGCAACTCTCTTCTTTGCAGTTGTGGAGATGTCAATTGATACTATAATACTTTCATTTTGTCAAGATTCAGAGGAGCATCAGGGAACTGCTCAATACGCCCCTCCGCTTCTCCTCGCGACATTGAATGACCAAACTGAGATGCAAAGGCTTACACAGTGATCAATGATATCTCATGCATTAGCTTGAATTATTATTATTTCAAGTGTTAATGAATGGATGATCACTTCAATTTATTCTGTGTTTTTTGTCGGTTCTTTTTCTAAACTTGGTTTTAGTTATTTTTGATAGAGTTTGTATCTTTACATGTAAATAAATTTAATTCTAAATTAGATCGAGTGTCCACATTTTGTCAATCACGAGTTTGCTTTGGCACTATAACATGCAATTTTGGATTGTTGTTCATTCCCCAACCAATGTGAGAATGTAATCCACTCTAACACCCACTACGTCCAGGCCTAATAGGAACGTGGACTGGGAGCCCAAACAAGAATTTGAATCTGATACCATGTAAAGATTCGACACTTGGACTAACTCAATTCCAAAAACTAGCTCGTGAGGGGAGGTTTACCCAAGTCCATATTAGTAAACCACCAATTCATTCCCAACCAATGTGGAACTGTAATCCACTTTAATACAAGTTGCAAACTATCATGGAGCACAACTATACAAGTACAGTACATTCTAAGTTGGAAACAGAAAGCAACATGCATAGGTAAATCAAAGCCATTGTATGTTTCATCTACTGTACTTCTTAAAATCAATTTGCAAAGTATTAGTCTTTACCAAGTAAATCGGTGCCTAAGCAAAACTTGCTCAGCGGCTTGAGAATTAAGAAGAAAAATTAAAGGATCAAATACAAGTCTTTTTGGCAGCAAGGCCAAGGTTGTTCCTCGTGGTAATGAAAAATGCAGAAGCATTTCACAAGATCCAAGTTGATACAAAATTCATGCTTTAGATCAATTATCTATTCAGTGATATATTTATCGGACTCTGGCAGTTGATTTTTTAGCAAAAGTCATTTTCCTCGGATCTATAACATCCACTCTTATCACAAGCACTGTGCCATTTTCTTCCTCCGTCCATGGTATGGAATCCCTCTCCAAAAATTTAAGTACCTGTTTACAAATATCTGTCTCATACTTCTGTTTGTCCAATGTCGATTCAAGTAGCTAAAGAAATGAGATGTAATAGACATAGAATGGAGAAAAATAATTCAATTGGACATATTATCTGGGATATGAAACAACAGAGATCGAATAAGTTCATAAAGATTTTTTTTTTAATCCTACAGCATGGGAGGAAAGAATTTTTTCTTAATCCTACAGCTAGGGAGAAAGTCTCAACCCTAACTTATCCAAAGTCCTATACAGAGAATATTCGTGATCAAAATAATGAAAATGAGAAGAGTCAACACTAAAACATTCCCTAAACCACAATTGTTTCTTATATGTACATTTTGAAATAGATTATATAATATAGTATTTATTTCCTAGACAAAAGAAACAATTTGGATATCACATTAATTTTCGTAACTAATAATACTATGATTGGTTACAAGGATCATAAACTAACTAACTGACACCTCTAGTACAGTTCTAGAAGGTGCTCGGCTGTATAGTTAAATACTGTCCATTCAGCAGTGTTTCGACGTCAGAACATTGTGGTTTTCACATTTATGAAAGATGTAGATGGAATTTCCACTTTCATATTTTAGAGGTGAAAAGATAAACTGGACTCCAGTTTAATTGCACTTAAACTTCCCACATGTCAGATTTAAGGTTCTATTATCTTCTTGAGTTACCAATCTGGAAAGAATTGTTTAGACTTCCAAGGCCAAATTTTCTGAACCATCTATCTAGATTGTTTAAAGGTGTCATACCGTGTAATTTGTAGATCCTGCCACTCTGATTGATAAGATATCAGATAAAACTAGTACAGGGTATTCTAAGCAATTGTCCTACGCTGGAAGATTACAAGTGATTCACTTGTTGCTGTGTTCTCCATTCATAACTTCTGGGGTATCGTGTTTATACTGCCCCAGAGTGTGTTGAAAGAGGTTGATAGAAGATGTAGGATGTTCCTATGGGGGCAATGAAGAAAAGAGAAAAGTGAGCCTTGTAGCTTGGGATACAGTTTGTGTACCTACGGGTAATGGAGGCTTTAATATCAAGGGATGCAGAATCTGGAATCTTGCATAAGTAGGGAACTGTTATGGCAATTGGTGGTGGATAAGGACTCACTAAGGGTGACATGAAGGATGATTCCACAGTTTGGGCTTGGTATACCCAGGGAGATATAATCCTACACCTGGAGGAAGGTACTCAATCTCCATTCTCTAGAAGCTACATGACATTGCAGGGGAACAAAGGAAAATGGACACTGCAGAACAGAGATAAAACAATGTTGCACAACCAAAACACAGGTTTATTTTTAGCTAGCAGAAAAGGAGACTTCTTCAGCTAAACATTCAGGTGGATGACCTGCACTGCTGTCTTTGTGGATCTGCTGATATGGAGACATCTCAGAATCTGTTTTTTGAGTGTGACTGGTTTAAAAATGTAAGGGAGGCAATGGTACAGTGGATGGGCATCATTATTCAGACTGGCAATGTGAAGCAAGTGCTAATAATCATTAGAAGGAAGCATTGGAAGTTAATCCAGAAGAAGATAGTAGCTGCTGTGTGGGGGGCAATGGTCAATTACACTAAGAGGGCCCAGAATTGGAACCTGTTCAAGGGACAAACTGTACATACAGAGAGGGCAATTACACAGAGTAAGGAGTTAATAGATAGATTAAGTCTACCTTATATACAGAAGAAGTTGGATAGATCTAGGGGGCTTAAACAGAGAATATACATGTAACTAGACTCGTTTTTGAGGCCTATGATCATCTTTACCTTCATAAGAGGTGGAAATGGCTAGGTGCTCTTAGGCTTGTATTCTATGCTGATTTGGTTTGTCAATAGTAATATTTACAGTGTTGCCCCAAAAAATTGTAGATTACAATTTTCCAATTGTCAGTAACATATACCCGTGAGAAAAACAGCAGTAGATAGACCAAATTATTCAAACATATCAGCACCAAAAAAAGAAGAAGAAACAAGTCATACCAGACGCTTCCGGGGACCTTTGGCTTCTTCAGCAGTGATCCCAACTAAGATTTTGAGATATTGAATAGCTGATAGAAGGAAAGATATCAATGTCATTTTTATATAAAAACAATTGACGAAGTCCTGTAATGACGATAACCTACACGAGAATCCACAAAGAGAAGTCAACTGAAGTTTTAGTAAGCGCACTGCATCCTTTGGCTCCAAATCGTGAAGGTCGAGTGTCACAATTTCTTTGCTGGAACTGCAACTAAGGTTGGAGTATTGGGTAAATACAAGCCCTGTAAGCAACATACATGAGTAGAGAAAGAAAAGAGAAAGGAAGCCAGATTTCTGCCTAACCTGGTTTCAAGAAGCTTTTGAGAGGATTGTTCATCCGTCACTTGTGCCTTCGTCATGAAAAATTGTCCCTGTTTCGTGAGAAGATTATGAGTAAAATGCCAGCACACCACCATAATGAAAATTTAAACAAGTGGATCAGCCAAGGCAAGGTCAACTTTATGGGAAGAGAACAGTTTGCACAAATTGGACATTATACCCAGCATGAATTTGGAGCTTATTTTCTTCTTTTTCCCGTGATAGGTGATGTTATGAGTATTTTCTCTTCCATTGTGCTAGAAGTGAAAGTTGTCGATGAATATTAAGAAATTGAACCTGGCATGTTACTTTTTGCTTTTTACGGTGTTTGTATGCTAACTTGAAGCTAAAACCTCCCTTGATAGGTGTAAAGCAAGAAGCAAGTAAAATATTAGGATACTTTGAAGGAAGTTGACGAAATGCTCAGACTTTGACCACTTAACGGAGCTAAGATAGTAACTCTACACCACCTACTCAGCCGATACCAATCAGTAGAATATCTCATAGAGACTAGAGAGGCCAGTTATTTCTTCACTAATATTTTCAAATACAAACAGTGAAGGACACTCTACATAAAGGAACAAACACCCTACCTCTGACCAGCCGATACCAATCAGTAGAATATCTCATAGAGACTAGAGAGGCCAGTTATTTCTTCACTAATATTTTCAAATACAAACAGTGAAGGACACTCTACATAAAGGAACAAACACCCTACCTCTTCCAGGAATTTGCGTGCCTTATCATGATCTCCTTTGGAAAATGCTTCAGAAGCCTGAAAAACAATTTAAGTTTGTAATACCAGTCGTGATTTAACATACTAAACTTTCTTCTTCTCGCTCGACACAGAATGAAGCATCTTAATGGTATTCAGATCATGAAACAGTAGAAGAGAGGTTTCCATGACTCACCGCGTTATAGTACTCTTTCATTGTAATCCAGTACTCCTTTACAGCTTTCCGAAGAACTTCGTAGCTTTCTTCATCCTCCTCACCATCTAAAATTGAAGTTCAAGAGGTGTTTACATGAGAAAATGAAGCAAAATAGCTATCCTAAAGGAGTACTGAATAGCTACGAATATCCATGCAGAAATTCAATATTTGCATACATCCTACCCTTCCCAGACCCCACTAGTGGGATTTACACTGGGTATGTTGTTTTTTTCACCAGTACATATAATATTCTAATATCTTTTCTGTGAATGAACAGGACACTTTGAGGTTTAAGTCTCTGTTTCCAAGGGAATTTTGGAAGTGTATACCTAAGACAGGAGTATACTTGCACTTGTTCCAGGCCGGCATCCATATGGTTCGATACGAATGGATGTCTTTATTGGTCCAGTTAAGTTAAATGGTAATTTCACTTCCATAGAATAAAGCTCAAGGTACCTCAAGAAAAAGACGAACCATGAAAAGGGGGAGCATTTTTTCTATTTCTTACTTGCTCCAACATATAGAACTTATACGATTAAGAAAAGAAAGAGAGAAAAAAGAATTCTCCAGTTTCTGGCTGCCAATGGCAGATTCAACTGAAAAAATAAATCTTGCCATACAAGAGTACAAAATCAATAGAAAAAAAGGGCAATTAAAAAGAAGATATGAAACCTTTAAAAAAAGCCAAATGTTACCATAAACACTTTTCATCTGTCCAACACAAGTAATAAGCAGTTGGTGCTGCTTACTTTTTGCATCACTTTGTGGTGTCCTGATAAGAATCTGGCGTTCTAAAGTCTCCTGTAATGGTTTATCTACAACGAGATTTAATCGACTAGACTTCCCAACTTCCTTCACCGGACGAATCACTTCATCCACATCATCATATCTTGAAGTTGCAGGTACATCAAACAATGCATGCAGAACTTCCTTTTGAATCTCATACCTTTCCTGCTCCTTCATAGATAAGTTGAGCCCATTTTTAGTCTTCTCATTTGCTTTGGAACTGCATCAGCAAAAATAGAAGGATGACCGTCAATCCATAACAACACCTTGAAAATCTACGAAATCAGTTTAACCAAAAAAAAAAAAGAGTACTTCCTGGACACTAAAATTATAGTTTCTGGAGGACAAAGTACCGGATGGCTGGATCTGTCATTGAAGATGTCTCTTTTGATGCAACTGATGCACAATCTGAACTCCCCACAGACTGTTATATCAAATTAGAGAAAGCATAGTAAGTAAGGAAATTATTTTATGTGATTTAAACAATTTTTAATTGCATATGGAACTATTATAGAATTACCATTAAAGATAGGTGTAATACATAGATAGCCCCCTAATAGTCTAGATATTCCACTTAGCCCCTTCAACAGAACCTAGTTTCAGTTGAAGTATATCTATTGAACACATTACGCTAATCTGGCACAAAAGTGGTGTGCACTTACTATTAAGCGTGTAAGTGCTGTAAAATTTTACTTTATATTTTTTAAGTAACTTTTTCCTTTCATCTCTTGTTCATTTATTTTTCTTTTCAAATAAAAATCCCCCCCTCCCTTCTTCATCTCTTTCAGGTGGTCTGCCACCCGACCGCCATTTTCAACCATCATAAACCTCTGCTATATCCCACATGTTCTATAAACAATCATTTTTCTCATGACTCCAGTCCATAAATTATTATGCAAATGCTAAACTAGAATATTAGATTAAATAGATGAACAAAAAGGTTCGCCAGAGATAAATTTTTTCTGACAAATATCCATAAAAGTTTCAGCCAATCTTCATACTTTTCGAGTCGGGCAGAAACTTCTGGCGGAATTTTTTTTGAAAGCAAAAGGAATAAAGAGAAAAATGAGAAAAAATGGGTGGAAAGCAATGGGGGATCGAAGGAAATTTCTAAGGAGGAAGAAAGAGGAAAGGGAGGGTTGAGTGGGCAGGGGTGCGTTATAGAAACTAAGCTTTTTCTGTTCTTTTTAATGATTATTTGAGTCCATATGCACATGTCATGGTTTTATTTGTCTTTCTGCCACATCATATGCGTGTGAGTTACACAGCTTTTTTTGTTTAAATTGCGGCTGAATGACACTTTTAATATAGGCAAGGTGTTCAAATGGTCATAGGTTGAGTTTAAGTGGTTAAACAGAATATCTGGACTAGTTTAAAGGCCGTCTAAATATAATGCCTGAAAGATAGTTTGTGATCCTTACTTTTAAAAATAAATTCTTAGTGCTGCAGCACCTCAGGTAATAAGGGATAGGAGAAGAGTGGTTGGTTATCTATTCCCTTTAATTTCAGAGATGGGGAAATCTGGTCTGACCTAACTTAGCAGTATAGTAGCCAACAAAATACAAAAGTAATTCCTAGAATTCAAAGGAATGTGGATATTTATATGGTGAATGAAATGAACATTATTAATCTTGTAAGCTCTTTTTACAGCTAGATGCAATGTCAAGTAGTTTAGGCGGACTGCATCAGTACAGATCCAAAACTGTTTCCAGTTCTAGAGAAGTTACCTCATAGAAACCTATTTTTTATGAATAGAATCCCTTACAAAATTACCTCCCAAAAGGAATACGCTGCTCATTTTTGTTGTCTGTAGTCACATCAGTAGGTTATTTAACTTGAATCTATTTTTTGAAAATAAATTCTAGTGCATATCTGGTCTTTGGCTGTTCTGTCAAGATATCAACCTACCATGAGGATTTGTATAGATGTGGAACCCTTTTCTCAGAGCAAAACTGATCCTTAGTACAGTAGTAACTCCAGCCATTAGGACTTTTCTCAGGTCAGGTGACAGTGAGCATGGTGGAGAGAACAAACTGGGTGAGGAGTGAATGGGCTAAGGGGGAGGAAAAGGAGAATAGAAGAGAAAGATAAGACACTATCCTTTCCTAGAATTTTATTGTGAAAAAGCTATCTCATTTTCCTTCAAGAGCGTGGCTAGGAAGCAGATTGCCTGACTAAGATCACTATCATTAAATAACTGTTCGCTTGTAAGTGATGTATCTAGTTTTACAGCAGATATGAGCAACACCAAGTGACATACAAAGAAAACTTACTTTCTTGTCGCCTATATTTATAATATCATCACTCTTTCCCAAAATTGATGCGGACATACTTAGCAGCTTATCCATACTCTGCATATTCAGAGGAAAGGGGGTGTCATATAATGAAAATGCAAGGTTAGAGCGATATATAAATCTGTGTAGAGAAGTAAACCAATCTATGTCTAGTATGCATGCAAAATTTCTGAAACGAAAAGATAGAAGCACCGAAGCAGGAACTAAAAAATTGTTGTCAGGCTGGTATATTCAGAATCAGAAGATCAAACAGCAATAGCCGAGCATTGTCTTTTCTGCTTAGCATGAGAACTAAGCTTCTGCAAGTCTAGCAACAACCTGGCCTCGTCCTTCCGGCAACTATGTATGATTCCACACATGCATTGTGGTTTCTCGCCATGAAAGTTAACCACAGTTAGCAAGAAATTCATTCATCGGTTCCTAAATCCACAAGCTAATTTTAGGTACATGAGGTAATTACTTTAACTGTGATAGAGGCTTAATAGCTATTTAGATAAGTAGAATGGAGCATAATTTATTTTCTAGTTAAATGTGGACTTCATACCACATACATCAAAACTTCTTAAACTTAAGCCACAAAATCCAAACCAGCAACGGGATTAACTTTGAAAAGGACCTAGAAAAGTGTATAGCCGATCACAGTTTGGACACAAATCAAACAAAACACAGGACTTATTTTCAAGATTTCATAGGTAATAATTAAAGGGAGTCGGAGAATAGGCAGGCTAGATGGTATCTGCAGGTGCTTAGAAGAGCAACTTTCACATATATGCTTAGCATATAACAATGTGGTGCCAATTATTGAGTAACAGCATACAGAGTTAAGTGCAAACATGCATATGCTGAATGTAAACATAAAATTGAGCCAAAAATAATGTTAGCACTTGATGCCTCGGAAAACACATATAAAGTATACAAAGTGGTTGAGTTGATATCACTAACCTTGTTCAGATCATAGCCACATTGACCTGCATATCCAACAACACCAAATTAGGAAGGAGATTATCCAAAAGTTGTGACAGCTCCTAGGAATTAGGATGCAGTTATAAGCTCATAGGAATTACTATTTTTTATTATTATTATTATCTCATAGGAATTACGATGCAGTTATAAGGAAGAAAAAAAAGGAACAGAATTTAAAGATATCTGAGACAAACTGAACAAGTGGACCATCCTCAAGTTGCATTCTACTTAACAAAATCAAGTCTCAAAACAGACTATAAAGAAACATTTAACCAACTTTTGCAAGTTTCATTCGAAGATCAATGAAAAGAAGTGAAGAAAGAAATGACACAATTTCAGGTCATTGAAAGTATAAGTAGCATTACTCCATGTGTCAGCACTACTTATCAAGTAATCTTACAAACACTAAGTGTAGACATAAGTAAAGTGCTCACCCACAACATCTCCAATTACACTCCTGTCAAGAGAAAATCCACTTCCGAGCATGTTGAAGAGGAACTCCTCTACACTGCTGGGCAGGGTTTCACTCATAGCTGCAGCACCTAATGGAGCTTTCTCATCCCTTAGATCTGGGGTTAAAAAATCATCTGCGCTTAATTTCAGTGGCTTGATTCTCGTAGAAGTTTCTGTAATTAGTGGCCTATTCGTCAGATAGTCTTTTGGGATCATGCTTGAGACAGTCCCCATAGACACTGATAACTTTTTTTGCTTTGATGACCTGGGACCAGCTCTCTTGGCATCAATCTCAGATACAGGTTCAGAAGTCGATATCACAGAGTCCCCTACTTCCTCAAATTCAGAAGTCAGAGTCACAGAATCCTCTATGTTTTCTTCTAACTCAGAGTTAGTAGTTCCGGAGCTGCTAGGTTTCTGATCTCCAAGTATATCACCTGCAATAATTGGATCCCGACCTGCTTTACAATAAGCTGCAGCAATGTCATCGAGAGAGACAACAGATCCAAAGACATCAAGCAACTGCTCCAGGTTCTTGCTATCATCATCAGTAAACAAGATTGTTGAAGGAGGTGCTTCCATCTTCATCCTTGCAGCATAAGATGAAATAAGAACCGCTGATAACAAGTAAAGAAGCAACTATATTGAGAACATCACTTATTAATCAAAGGCTTTGTAACAAATTGTAGAGTAGCAGAAACCACAAAATAAAGGAAAATGGCAGAGATTGGATGGCATAACAACAATAGAATCCAACATTTCACGGATAACAGAACCTACAGAGAACCAATAGTTGTGACAGGAGAAAAGCAACTAAGTAATGTAATAGTAAATCACGAAAAAGGCACATTCCAAGTCTGACATTTCCACTTTCACGAAATTTGATATTCTTCCTCAAATTAATGAAGATTACATTAAGCATACAACTATCACCCCTGAAAAGATGCTGACACACTATAACTGAGTCTATTCCGATGAACTAAAAAAAGAAAAACACTGCGATCTAAGAGTCGAACTCCTAAACAATATTCATGAAAGGAATCAATACTAAACGTCTAGGTCACAAATTAAAATCAGGCATTTCATTCCATCACTTTCCACACCAAAACTTACAACTAACACAACAATGTACTCACACATTCATCCACACAAAAACAAAATCAATCGACGAAAATAACTTCCAGATGAACATTCTCAGCTTGAAAATCAAACATCAAAACCTCATCAAAAAGCAACCAATCCAAAAAATAATAACTCATACTTCTACAAATGCTAAACAATGCAAAATCCAATTCGGTTAATACGAATTACAAAATAACTTCTGTAGAACATGCAATGATAGAAATCGAATCAATTTCACAGCTAACGGAAGCAAAAACAGTGATATTGATTATTGAACAGAAAGAGAAACAGAATCTTACTATATAAACTTGATGGCCGATGATACAGAGAGAATGAGAGCCAAACGAAGTAGCTCTAATCAAGTGCGTTATCGGTTCTCTCCATCCGCACAAGGTTTTGTTCACTCTTCAGACTCAACCTCTAGCTTTTCGGAGAAGGAAGGAAGGAGAAAAGAAGAAGAGTGAGGAGAGAGACAAATAAAAAAGTGTCTTTTCTAATTATTTGATGAAGAATCGAGTCATGCTAAGAGTGCCTAAAGCAAATGGACAGGATTCTCAAAGTGTGTTTTGGTATGTTTTATGGAATTTTATTTGATTTTTTATTTAGTTTTACTTTTAAGGTTGAGTTTTTCATATTAATTTTGATTTTATAATCAGGATTCGAATATGATATCTTTAATTAAATATGGATGAATAGTTATTATTCCAGCATAATTATTCCATCAAATAATCACTTAATTTTATCAAGTTTGGATTAACTAAAAATTTGGAAGGTATTATTTGGGTATTATTATTTAATTTTAAAAGAAATTGGTATGTTCATTCACTTCGTAATAACTTTGTACATATTTATTAAGATAAAATATAAAAGTTTAGAATGAAATTTTAGAAACTACATATCCAAAGTTATTTTAAACTGATAAACTTATGACCTTATATGTATCACATGTATAACTTAAATTATAATTCTAAAATAGGATATTTATGCACTTCGACTCAATTTTGTGAAGGAGTAATGTCCATTTCCAAGGTTGTACAAATCAAAGAGAATTTGCTAGTGGATTTTTCATATCAAATAATTTATTTTTTTAAAATTAAAATTTACTTTTCAAAAATGGTCAAAAGAACAACTAAATATATACTTCTAAAGTTATAACATCGAAATATCGGATTGGTTTTGATTTATTTATTTATTTTGAAAAGTTTCCGATTTTTAAAAGTTTGATTCTTGGTTCGTGTTTAGGTTTTGAAGTATCAATATTGTGATTAATCTAAATATTGATCTATTTTATTACAAAATTGTACGATACATCCTCTAAAGTGTTGATGTTTATTTTTTGTCTCCATTTTTCGTATATTGCAAAATAAGTTTTAATCTTATTATTATTATTTTGTGTTCATTAATACATTATTGTTGATAACTTGATATTCATACTTTTTCATTCTTACATTTCTTCTAGAGCTCACTTCTTCTTTATCAAGAACATTATAGTTATTAAAATTTGAAAGTTTGAATTTTTTATTTAGAATATGAAAAATTCAATTTAATAGATAATTATTGGTTAAAGTCAATTGAGTGTTCCTTATTGGTTTTTAGTCAATTACTGATTTAGTGATTCCTTAAAATATTTTAAAATTCATTATATACATTCGACAATATCTTTAAAAAATCTGAAAGACATAATACTATATTTTTGCGTGTTTTTGTGCGTACATACACATTATCATTGTCTCCAAGAGGACAAAGTGGGCTACTTGATTTGATGTTTTCTTTTTTGCCAATAAATAGGTGATTTGATGATCATTTATATTGATGTTTTGTAGGCTTTTGTTTCAAAATGCATAAGCATATATTGAGTTGGTTTAATCAAAACTAAAATTGTAAATTCGAAAAATATTTTGTTGAACAACAAAAAATAATCATGTTAACCTAACACTTTATAGTGTTATTTTGAAAACATTACATGAACATAGCGAGATTATACAATTTTACAATATATACAAATTACAATACTTCTATACGTATTTATGTATTTAAAAACTCTAGCCTTCGTTGCCCACACATACATACACATATAATTGGTCACACATACATACATACATACATACACATCTAGTTATGACCAGATAATAAATATGCGCAATTTTTAGTTAGAATGAGATATTTTATGCCACAAAAACATGTATTTTGCTACACTTTGAAATCAAAGCATCATTATGTTTTGAAAATACTCCTTGTCTTTAAATTTGTTTGTCTGGTTTTTATTTGGCACATGACTTTAGGAATAAAGAACACTCTTGAATCTAGTGCTTTTAATTTATAGATATGTAAAATATACTAAAATATTCTTTAATATTGTGATTTTAAATATATCATGTGAAAAGTTTAAGTTAAAGAGTTTATCTCGCTATTAATTTTTATTTATTTATTTTTCAAAAAACGTTATTTGAGCCCAATGCAATACCCATAAGCCCAAGCCCAAGTTCTTAGCCCTTACCGGTTTGCCACTTACCACCCGGTGACTCTATCTCTGTCTCTATCGATCCCGGCGAAATCCAAGCGTAGAATATCAGGCGACCGGCGGCAGGCGGCAGCTTATTTCCACTGGTAATTCTCTGTTCTTCCTTATCCTGTTCCTTTTTTTTTTTTTTTTTTATCAATAATCTCGCAGAAACTCAAAAATATGCATTAACGTATCAATTTTTTCTGAAGTATAATAGCTTATTTCTGATTTTTTGTAGTAGTTGCTACTGTAATACAGCACCACCTTATTGCTTCCATGAAAATTTATCTTATCTATTGAAACTATTGTTATATTTTCATTTTAAAATGAAACAATTGAAGTGCTCACTATATTCCTAGTGTTCCTTTTGCAAAATGATTTTTTTTTATGATCTAAATGAAAAGTGTAAGCATTGGCATGAAAAAATAGAGAAAAGAGATGAGTGAGGAATAAAAACAGAAATAGCTTGAGATGTTTAGCTTTTACTGACGGAAACTATTTTTTAAATGATCATGTGGGATATCCAGATTTTATTTGCGGGATTTCACTGGGTATGTTTGTGAACCGAGTGATCATCCAATTGGTGGATTATTTAGTTTGATTTTCTATCTTAATTCAGCAGGCAGAGTATTAGCGATGGAATTTCGTAGACACCTTTAACTAGAACTCGAGTGCCTAAATGTCAGAAGTAAGGAGACAGAAAATTAGATTCCTAAACCCCTTGATTTTCCAATACTGAGCAAAGGAGAAACCCCCATAAAATTTGTCTTTGTTGTGGTCGTAAAATTTCTTTTTTTCGTTCCATCGTTCCATTTCTTGCCACTTAGCTTCTCCTCCCCTCCCCCACCACGAAAGAAATTGTCTTTTTTGTCCTCTCGTTCTTCATATCTTAAATGAAATATTATACCATTTTACCCAGAGAAGGGGGAAGAAAAATGAGAATCTGCTTCTTCATTTGATTAAATTTCCAATATGATCACTTTGATTAATAGGTTTCGGATGATGAAATCATTTTCAATAGTATTCATTATTTAATATCTGGTTATGACATTGATTTTGCTGATCTGTTGGTCCCTTGAAGAACAATATGACAGTGTCATTCTCTCATACCTAAGTGTTTGGATTTCATCTAATTATGTTTGTTGCTCTCGTTTGCTTCTTCCTTTTTGAGCATTCTTTACTATTACAAAGCCATTTTCTGCAAAATAGTGTGACCATATGGTAAAATGATAATTAGTTTTTTCAGTTTGCTCTTTTACAGTAGAAAGTGAGGAACGAAAACAAATTTAGACAGTAAGAAAATATTGAAACCATGCATACCAGGATTTCCAAGACTTAGAAATATGAAAACGATATGTCTCGTTGTACACCAGTTACATTGAACAATGTGAAAGCATGTAGAGCTGGTGAAAAATTCACATTCTAATATGTTTTTTCCTTGCTAAACTGGACTTTACTGCTGCAGTTCATGGTGAGAAATTCACATTCTAATATGTGCTCTCTTTGCTTCAGTTTTAGCTGATGGGATTTGGGAATAGAGGAATCGTTGCTGACAAATGGTCAGGAAGGCTTTTATGGGTCTGTGCAATTGGAAGTGCTATTGGTATACCAATTTTTTCTTGAGATGCTTCTCTCTAAGACTAGACAAGCAATGGTTATTTTAAGCCTGTAATGGACAGGCAGAAAGTCAACAATTAACAAGTTAGGTAGTACACCAAGACTTAATTAATAATGTAATACATATGAAATCTCCACAATGAAGTTCTTTATTAATGAGTGCGTAAATTATTTTTAGCTCTTCTGTTTGATTACTTGATGTTGTTCTTTATCTGTATCTTGCTTGTTAGGTTTCTATATGGTTGCTGTGGAAAGACAAACTCAGAATAGAGCAAAAATGATGGCTGAAGCACTGGCGGATGCAGGATCAAGTATAGATGCCAGTGAGAAAAGTTGAATATTATGGGACTTATAATGCTAATACATTTCCATTAGACGTCTTTTCTTATCGTTTGGCAGGAAACTATTCTGTTGTAATAAGTACTCGCGATCCTCATAAACGAAAAGACATTGCTGAACAAGAGTTATCTATACGATCAATCATCACAATGATAACTACGTGTAATCGTTCAAAAAATGGTCTGAAAAGTAAGACAAGTTATCTGTTGCGACATATTAAAGTACATTGATGGTGTATAATCCTCCAAACTGTCGATGTATACAAGTTAAACTCTTTAACTATTTGACGAGGGAAAACATACAAGCTTTAAGATGCTCCATCTTACCTAGATAGCTCATGTGTGTAACTGATTATACAAGGGATACTACATAGAGAAACAACAATTATAGATTTTTCAATCCAGAGCATTTTGGGGGGAAATATTTTTGCAACTATAGAAACTATTTCTTTCCTACCTGCATATTTCTTTGATTTCACATGTCAAACATCTTCAAGTATATATGTTATATTCAACGTTAAACAAACCTGCAGAAGTATCAACACCAACTTCACTATAATGGTAATTGTTTATCCAAACCCAAATGTCCTCTAGCAGGCATTGAAGATGATCTTGATATTACTTCAGGTGGAAGACTTGGGGAAGTTGCGGAAGAAATAGAGGCACAGGGTCGAAGGAGAGGAGTACCAATACGACTTGAAGTGTCGTTAATTGTTACTGAATGATGATCCTCCGTGACAGTTGTTGGTGGCTGTAACTCAATTTCTGTACCTGCACCATGCACTGTTCGAGGGCTATCAACCAACTGGTCATGATCATATTCCTCGAGGGACATCACGGTGCTTGTATCAGTGTGGACAGTTGAATCATCTGGGAACATACGCATTCTCCTTTTTCTTCTTGCTGCCTTTCCCCATCCGTGGATCGTTTCTCTTATTCTCTGTGGAATCAATGCAGCCTTATAGTTTGTACCCATCTGCAAAGAGGCAATATAATATGTTCAAAGCTTTGTTCTTGGAAAATATTAATATCTACAATCTCATTTAATAGTCCGATTCACGAGTTTACTGTGGAAGTGCAACATGCAGAGTTACTAGCACAGTTGAAGTAGTTCGTAAAGTTTAACATTTCAACGATGATCAAGCAGATCTTGTGATCTCTGGACATACCGTTGACGGTTTAAAGTAGACCACATTTAAGAATGGAATAGCCTATACATGATTTTTAACAATATACCTAAAGAGAACAGAAAAAAATAAAGCCCCTTCCGTTTCCCCTACGCCATCGTCCTCATTTACCTCACCCACTCCAGTCTCTACTGTCTCCCATCTATTGGTGTTTGTTTGTCATGAGCAAGAAGAGGAAAAAGAAAGGAAAACGGAGCTAGAAAATTTGAGACATGTCATCCATAACCTTAAGGTGGTTATGAGAATATTGTAGAAGGCCAGAGAGGTAATGGTGTACAAAGTCGAACGTTAAAAAGAGGATCATACTATTCTAACTTCTCAATTTAGCTATATCCGTCGTGACATAATACCTGTGTAACCAGGGCATAGAGTGGCAAGGTGCTATAACTGCAAAGGAATTGTCCAGCAAACCTGGGTGACAAACAACAGCATACGTTTAGATCGTTGTGCTAAATAAAAATATGTTGGTAAATCTAAAACCTTAAACAATAGTACATACAAATACAGTTGGCAATTACACATACCCCATAACGAGTCGTAGATACACAAGTGTGTGGTTCTTTATGAAGCATGAGTTATACCCAAATTGCCACTGGAATAAAGACGTAACTTTGTCAAAACTCAGATATTCAGAACATTAGTGTCTACTACAAATGGAAACAAACATATGCATGTGGTAGAACATATTATACAAGCACATGGAATAGAGAATATGGTTTTGTCTAAGAAAGTATTTAAGGGAGGAAACATGGTTTTGTCGAACTCCGAGAAAGAATTTGAGTTAAAAGGAAAAAATCACTAGTATTTCAGGGAATGTGCCAATGTTGAATACTAAAGATTGTGAATGTTTAATACAGTTAAAAGGAAAATGCTTTGACTACGTATTAAATGTTCGGTACAAACGTACAGGAAAAAAAATTTAAGCTACGAGAAAGGGACCAGTGAATACCCAGAACCAAAAAAATGAAGCTAGCTCAAATGCATTCTGCAAGAGTAAGCATGCAAAAACAAGTTAGTGTATATAGACATTAAAGAAAGTTAGTACATAGATGAAACAATTAAAAAATGAAGTATGATTGTACAAACAAACCTGGAAAAGGACAAAATGAATCAAGGACAAAAGTAATTTTGGTTTTTTGAACCAAAAAAGTTCGTCTCGTGGTTTTAGCTTGACCCTTGAGAATGAGCCAGTAATTGCAGCACTCTCCAATGCCAAGGTTGCGATTACATGCTGCAGTTTTGTACCCACAAGTAGTACAAGCTGCACGGAAGCACAAGTAATGACTATTTATATCTTCTATCACATCCATAAGTTCATATAATATACAAGATAATTCAGAATGTAAGGGAAGAGAGAAGAGATAGATATTAAGAAATATGACGCATGCAGGGTCACTGTCAAGTCTACCACTACACCGTAAGGAATAAAGAGAAACGGAAAGAGGCATTGCTTTATATACGCAAGCATATATGTTCATGCATTTCTGAAGAGTTCCAAAACATAATTGCAATGGAAGCACTTACAATGATAGGAATTAACGCTATCCAGAAATACAGATTCGATCCTGCATGTTGAAGTTCAATTGGTCATGCATGAGCTTGTGGATGGAGTTTAGTTTCACCAGAACATAAATGTCGGGGAGCAGAAAAATTGCAAACTTATCTAATGATAAAAAACCAAAGTGGCATATGTTCCTCATTCCAAAGAGTAGAGGATGAAGTACCTTTTACATTAAACAGCATAAAACCCACCACGAATCCCCAGAGAGGGCCACTACAAAGATACAACACAAAAGTTATGAGAGTAAGGTTCAATCAAGAAACCAATGATGGAAAGCAAGCAAGAACTGTTGTAATAATAGACTTCAAAGTAAAATTGCTCTACTCTAGTGCTCTCCATGACTACTGTCCTATCCAATGATCATTTATATGGACATGGTGCACTGAACAAAAGATGATACATGAGCCACCGTAAACGGAGAAACAACTAGAAACAAAAAATCCTAAATTCATTACTCGTTCCATCAGGAGCTAAATAACGGATTCAATGTACTTCCTCCAAAATTTTGCAAAGATTAAGGACCAAATTAACTGGAGAAAACATCACTTGGGCTTAATGCTAACTCAACAATTAGATGAGATTCACTTCTTCATCAAATCTTAGAACTAAACAAAATGAATTTCTCTCCACATTTGGTCCACTTCTCTTTAAACAACTTTTAACTCTCTGCCACTCAAAGAAGAGGATGAAAATGGGGAAGGAGTACTTCTATTCTTACCTTACACCAACTATTCTTTGGAATTCTTCTTCCATCGAGCGAATCATATAGCTGTGAAAATCATAGTTTGATGTAAGGTTGTGATTCTGCCATGAATAAGAGGAGAAACGTCGTAACTAGTAATCTATAACAGAAATCAGTATCATATATAGAGACACTCTTGTGATGGAAAAGAAAATCAGTGATACAATCATGAAGATAACTTCAAATGATCCGTAAACAGTAAACTAGAGTTTAAAATGAACCGGGCTTGCTACAAAGCATCCTAATCTTTTCGATTAACTAACACAGGCTTAGTTTCATGTCTAGTTTTGAAAGACAGTGTTCCATTTTGATAATGTGCATCAGTTGTACTTTTATCATGATTGTACATTTCAAATTTCCTGTTTGTCAAACTGTGATATGAGCTGCTTGTAATCATTAAATGATGTCTTTTTGTGACCTAGTAATTTCCTCAAAACTAGACTAACAAATTTCACATGGAAACTACTTTTTAACTTCTAAGATACTCCACAGTACTGCCTTCAAAAGCATTCAAATATTTTACTCAATGTTTCGCAAGTGATTAGTTCTTTCAAAATGCTAGAAGCGAATTAAAGGGAAATGGTTCATGCTTGGATCCATACCATGATAAAACCTTTGCGCAGAGTAAGGTAATCAGCACGAACAACTGTGCGGCCAAACTGCCGGAAGAAACAGGTCTGCGAAATTTGATAGAAATATACAAACATTATACTCAAACCAATTTAGAAAGGGAAAAAAGTGTAAGTCAATACGAGTAATTATGGGAACCACCTCATCTAAAAGCATAACTATTAAAAAGCAAATATTTTATTTACTTACTTTGGATGAATAAATTATGTGAGGGTTAGGGAAATCAGAATCTAGTAAGAACTATGTAAGAACTAACCACCCAAACAAGGAATTGGTTCCTGGCAAGTGGACTTGATGTGTGAACTCTGACAAAAGTCGACTGCCTTCGGAATGTCTTGGCTCTAGAAATTTCTGCCATAGAAAAGAGTTCAGTTTCTTTTAGCTTTTTTAAAGTTCTATCAAAGTAAACAACATGATGGATTTCTCCACATTAAGTATTTCAAAGGGGCACTGATTGAGGCTTTGAGACATTTCCAGAGGACAAATGGCTGATCTCTTCAACGAATACCAAGCAGGACCGAAATATATATTACCCCGGTACATGCATCTCCCACCACCCAAAATAAAGGAGAAAAGTAAACATAACATCTGAAGATAGCTACCTGATAGACACCAAGGTAGAGAAATCCTACATGCACTAATCAATAAAATACGAAGCAATAGATGTCTAGAAATAGAAATAAGTGGCAAATACATGTTTGCTCCTGGAAAGACAACAATGGGATAATAACAATATTGGAAAACAAAGTAACACGATACTGATGTAAAGGTTAGCACAAACATTGTCATCTCCAAACATGACGAGAAAAAAATGAATTAATCTTTCGTGGTGCACAAGGGCGGAACTATGTAGATCCAATGGGGTACAATTGAATCCCCCTTCATCAGAAAATTGTTCAATGCAAAAAGTGTAAAAACGAGATTTTCTGGTTGAATATGAAGTATTGAATCCCCTTGACACAAGTTGAAGGAAAGACAACAGTTTTCTTTAACTTTCAGCTCGTCTCCAAACACTCAACTTCAGGTATCATCGATCCGATGCATGTACATTCTCAAGTCTCTGGAGATTTCGGTAATCAGAGTCCACTTATACTTCAAGTACAAAGAGTCATACACTAACTGATAATTTGTGTTGCTCCATCTCCATCATAATACATGCATGGTTCTTGACAC